CTGGGTCTATTTTGTTCATCAGCTAATTTTGTTCATTATATTCCACAAATAAGTGAGATAATGTGGCATTTGTCTTCCTCTGATTGGCTTATTTCACTTAACATAATACTCTCCAGGTCCCTCCATGTCGTCTCAAAGGATAAGAGATCTCTCTTTCTTACAGCTGCACAGTATTCCATTATGTATATGTACCACAACTTTTTTATCCACTCATCTACTGATAGACACTTGGGCTGTTTCCAGATCTTAGCTATTGTAAATAGTGCTGCTATGAACATAGGTACATATATTCTTTCTGATTGGTGTTTTATGCTTCTTAGGATATATTCTGGAAATGGGATCACTGGGTCAAATGGAAGATCAATTTTTAATTTTTTGAGGAAACACCATATTGTTTTCCATAGTGGCTGCACCAGTCTGCATTCCCACCAGCAGTGTGCTAGAGTCCCCACTGGGACTACATTAAACTAAAAAGCTTCTGCACAGCAAAAGAAACAACCATCAAAATGGAAAGAGAACCCACTGTATGGGAGAGCATAATTGCCAACGATACATCAGATAAGGGGTTAATTTCCAGAATATATAGAGTGCTCATACAACATAAAAAAGGAAGACAAAGAACCCAATGAAAAAATGGTCAGAGGACCTAAATAGACACCTCTCCAAACAGGATATACAAATGGCCAAGAGACATATGAAGAAATGCTCAACATCACTAATCATCAGAGAGATGCAAATTAAAACAACAATGAGGGATCACCTCACACCTGTCAGAATGGCCGCCATCAGCAAATCATCAAACAACAAGTGTTGGCGAGGGTGTGGAGAAAAGGCAATAATAATAAACTTTTTTAATGAGAGACATATCCCAGGTCAACTGTGGGATAAAGAGAAAAAAAGGCGTGAAAGCAAAGACACACGCTAGACTGCGGGTGAATGGCAGTCAGTTTTCCAGATGACTTAGCTCATAGTAACTGCTCTCCACGGTGATGAAGGTAAGAAAAGGCCCTATCCAAACACACTTTTTTCATCACCATTTGTCCCTTCTATGCCCTCTTCCACCTCCACCCACTCCCCTCCCCCCCCCCCCCTGCAATCACCACACTGGTGTCTATGTCCATGAGTTCTCTCATTTATTTTATTTTATTTTTTTTGCTCAATCCCTCCACCCCAGCCCCCAACACCCCCCCACCACAGCTGCCTGCTCGCTATCTATGAGTCTGTCTCTATTTTGCCTGGTAGCTCAGTTTGTTCATTAGATTCCACATATGAATAAAATCATACGGTCCTTGTCTTTCTCTGATAAACACACTTTTAGAATTTCTGAAAGTTCATGACAGAACAGATAACTAAAACAAAGAGAGATTCACCATTGCTGAAAGTTCAAAAAAAAATAGTCTTTATGGTTATCAGATTTATGTTAGCTCTTACAAGCATTTCCATATTTCTGTTTCTGTCTTTAAAGATAAAAATAAGCACCATCAAAAACTGTAAAAAAAACAAAGCATTGTCATTATCAAGAAATAAGACAGAAAAATGAAAGGTATCCTCCGAGCTTAGATATACCACTTGGAAATACTTGGTCAGCTCTGAAGTGCAACATGTACGCCCAGGAAAATCCAGCCTCTTCAAGCACAAATGTTAAAACATATTCTGTTCAAGGAGAGAAGGCGAGCCCGGCCCGTGTGGCTCTGTGGTTGAGCATCAATCCATGCACCAAGAGGTCACCGGTTCAATTCCCGGTCAGGGCACATGCCCAGGTTGTGGGCCCAATCCCCAGTGGAGAGCATGCAGGAGGCAGTCAGGCGATGTTCTCTCTAATCAGTGTTTCTCTCTCTCTCCCTCCCTCTCCCTTCCTCTCTCTCTCTAAAATCAATAAAGAATAAAATATTTAAAAAAAAAAAAGAGAGCCCTGGCCGGTTTGGCTCAGCGGTTGGAGCGTCCGCCTGCGGTCTGGAGAGACCCGGGTTCAGTTCCCGCTAAGGGCATGTACTTCGGTTGCAGTTTGTCCCCGGCCCTGGCTGGTCGTGCGGGTGGCAGCCACTCGATGTGTCCCTTTCACATCGATGTTTCCCTCTCTCTCTCTTCCTCTCTCTCCTCCCACTCTATCTGTACAAAAAAATGGAAAAATGTCCTTGGGTGAGGATAAAAAAATAATAAAAATAAAAAAAAAGGAGAGAAGGCGAATTGTGGATATTTATGCAAAAGTTATAAAGACAATGCCAAAACCTCCAACAACTTAGCTGGGACCTATCTTTGGGCTGCAGTTGGAACAGCAAAAATATTTTACCACATAAGGCAACCGGAATCAAAATTGTGAGCATATTGATGCTGGAATGTTATAATACTATTAATAAAGTTATCCCTAGATCAAGGACTAGCATCTGTCCACTTCAGTAAAAGTCAGACTGAAGTATTCAGCTGTGAGAGGGCTCTGGGCGGGGCAGGGGGTGAGGGGGGCTACGGAAGGCGTCTACACCATGTTATGTACCCTCTGTGAACGATCAGAAGATTTTTCTTGTAGCAAGAATGCCTGAATTGTAAAAATGGTCCAAAGTAGCAATCATAGGGATGTTGGAGTGTTGAAATTTGAGAATGGAAGAATGCTAATGACCAAAGGTGATGGACCAGAACAAGAAGATTCATGGCAGACAATGCCCTTCGGTGTCCACGCTTCTGGCTGATTTCCATTTCCAGACGATTCCGACCACACCAACAGAAACAAAAACAACAGATTCACCCCAGTGCTGCCTACACATGCCTCATTAACCAGATCAGAGGACCCTGTCGAAAGTCAGGGCAATGAGAGAGATTTGTTTCTTTTGTTGCTGGCGTAATTTATAAACCCTCTGAGGAGAGTGTAAATAGATGTAGCTCAAGAGCTGCATCATTTTCTGGCTAATTCTTTTGGGGGGGAAAATCAAAATGCACTCTGCAGAAGGCCTGGGTCTTTCAGAGATATGACATCATACTCTTTCTGTGGGCTCTGCCCACTGCGCTGCGATCAACCCAAAATGGACTTTTTGCTGTTGTTGAGGATTTTAGTAAAAAATATCTCACCACATCACATCAGGCTTTTGTGCGTTAAATACCACGGTCCACTCCAGACAGGCCGAGGTGCGGGCAGCTCCCTCAGAGGGGCAGGCTCTGCCCAGGGCACACGCACTGCTGTCCGACGACTGCTCTGTATCATGGCATCCTCGCCGCAGTCACCCGCTCCCCTCCTCAAAAATCAGCCTGGGCAGCTGGGCTCCTGTCAGGAAGCCTTCCCAGGCATGGCCCACTGTGTGCCAGGCACATTTCCACGCCGTCCGTATTATCTGATTGCTTATCTCTTGCACCACAAGGTAAACTCCTTACTAACAGGGATCCCAGGCAGGACAGCCTCATGGTTAAGGGCTCAGACTCTGAAGGCTGGACTGCCTGGACTTGGTTGGGTCCAGCTCCCAGAGGTATTAGCTGTGTGACCTTGGGTAAGTTCCCTAATGTCTTTAGGCCTCAGTTTTCTCATCTGTAATGATACCATTGCTTATCTCATTATGTAGTTATGAGAATCAAATGGGTTTATATGGCTAAAGCATCGAAAATACTAAGGCCTATTTAAATGTCCATTGAAGTGGCTGCTATTTTCTTCTTATTCTTTCTTTGTTTGGAGAGAGAAAGAGGGAGAGAAAGAGAGAAACATGAAGTGACAGTGTAACATCAATCAGCTGCCCCCCGCACACCCCCTATTAGGGATCAAGCCTGCAACCTGGGCATGTGCCCTGACCAGGAATCAAACCAGCAACCTTTCAGTGCACAGAATGATGCCCAGCCAACCGAGCCACACTGGCCAGGGCTTCTTATTCTTGTTCTTCATCATTATTACTTGTATTTATATCCCCTAGTGACAGGCACAGTACATGGCACATAGTAGGTACTCAACCAAATGCTTGGGGAATGAATGAATGGGGTCATAAAGAGAGGATTTTATAAAATTCTAGTGAAGTTGCATCTTTCAAGAACAGAAACAACCCAAAAGTTACAATTATATATTCCCTAATTACATTATATGAGGATAATCAATACTCAAAATAAAAACCCTTAGTTCATAATCTTGATCTTACTCTGAATAATCAAATTAAATTATTTTCAGTACCATTAGCACATTATATTTCACATCACATTCTAAACTAATCAAAACTTGCTATCTCCCAATGGTATAGACAGTAATCCTTAAGTAATCAGAATATTTAAATTATCAGATACCCCAGGCCCCAAGATTTCTGAAAAAAAAAAAAGATAATTTTACCGTATTGTTTTTTAAAATAGCGTTCCTTAAGCATCACTATGCATATTAGATACCTTGCAGACCAAATGTTTATTTCATTGTTGTTTTTTCTAAATTGCATATGTCTATATATGTTTTAAAACACATTAGTTTTGCCCTGGTCAGTTTGGCTCAGTGGTTGCGCATCAGCCTGCGGACCAGAGAGTCCCAGGTTCGGTTCCCACTAGGGGCATGTACCACAAAAATAAATAAAAAAATAAATAAATAAAACACATTAATTTTGAAGAAGCTAACATAATGTCAAATTTCCCTTCGGGAAATAAATGCTGGGGAGTCCACTGGAGCCACAGGGTGATGGAAGTGAGGACAGCCAAGGCACCCTTACGAGGAAATTCTAAACATTAGAATCACGGCTAGCTCGCTGGCCACATCTCAGCACTAGATTCAGGGCCATCCTTTGTTAGCCAACATCTGAGCATACGTCTGTCATTCCTGTTGACTGTGCACATAGCTGCCCACCCATTGGAGTCACACCACACACCCAGAAAGGCATGACCCATTTTCAGAAGTGCAAACAGTTAGGTTAGCACCCACGCTGAGGTGCCAGCTCCTCTGTGTTAAATATTTATGGAGTATCTGCAAGTGGAAATGCGCAGACAAACAAATCGATATTTTCCATGACCTTGAACCAGATTGCCTGGGAAGGATACTTTCATTCACAGCTTCATACCTTCAATTCTCCAATGGAAGAAAGCAGTCCTGCTCCGTATGCCCGCAGTTGCCCTTCTTGCTTGCAAAGGCCAAACTCAATTGTAAAGAAATAGCACTAAAAAAAAAAAAAAAAAAAATCAACACACATCCAGTATACTGGTTAACAAGTTCTTCTAGAGAATAAAATGGCATCCAAAATAAAATGGTGCACTGTGCGGAATTTCTTCAACCATGTCAATTTACATACATCTAAGTCCAAAACATTTATTGAAATCTATTCTCTTGCTTAATAATCCCTTCCTGGGCCAAAGGTATATGGAAAAGGTATCAACTACTAAAAGTCTTATGCTTGCTAGGTTCAGAAACCCCACTAGTCAAATCAGAACCCATGCAATAATTTCAGAAATGAAAAGACACAGACTTAGAAATAAATGAATATGTCACAGTGATAATGCTGTAAGAATAGGCTATTCCATTTACTAAGTTGTGTTTCAGTGACATCAATAAGTTCATGCACTTGTGAAAACAATAACTTAGAGCTTAGTAATCCCAAATTGATTTTTGCAGTTTGTTTATTAATTCAACAAACATTTGTTGATTACCTACGAAAGCCAATGTTTGAAACAAGAGAGAGACCAATAAAGTAAGTACATGCCTACCAAACTACCAAAACCACAATTTTAGAATGTTTTTTAGTGAGATCTTAAATATATACCAATGTATATACACACACAAACACATAGATGTTGTGTGTGTGCATATATACACACATATAAATGTAGGGTGGGTCTATTAAAATACATTTTATTTTCCAAAGTAATAGAATCTACAGACACGCTATATACATTTCTGGGGGACAACCTATATGTATATACTAACTAAGGACCATTTCATTGACCTGAGTTTTATCAGCATTAAATACCACAGCTTTCCCAAGATATTAAAATCTATAGTTGTTTCTGTGGAGTTTAGGAAATTAACCTAGACAGACAGAAACATCTGTACAACCAAAAACTCATAATGTTCTTGAGAGAGGCTGAAATCACACAGTTTTTGCTCTGTGAGAAAAGTGAGAAGTTGACAATGAGCAATAAAACTTGCATCAAATTAACACTGTCCTGCATTAGCGATGACAGAGTGCTGACGGTGTTGAGAAAGAGAATTTAAACACTCATGAAAGGGGGCAGAAAATGGTATTTCTAGCCCATGGCAGTTTGCTCTATTTTTATTTGGAGGCACATATGCCCGTTAGTTCAGGAGGGTTTCACATGTTTTCAGGGTGAGGATGATCTGGGCTATGTGCTCTGCAGCACTGGGCTGGACCCAAAGCACTGGTCAGTCCAGGTTAAACCTCCAGAGGCAAATTCTCTGTTCCTGGTCCACCTCCCAAGGAAGCTAAGATTATAGCCCTTCCTACCGCCATCACCCACAATGCACACCAGCACTCTTCCTTACTCTGTTCCGACCTTTCTTTCTTTTTCATCACACCACTTGTTGACATGGTCTTCAATTTATTTCTGTCATCTGTCTCCCCAGCCTAGATGATAAACTCCATGGCAACTGTTGACTGGCCTCTTCTCACTAGATGCCAGTAGCAATCCCTACCCCAGTGGTAACAACCACAAATGTCACTCAACATTGAAAAATGTTCCCAGCCAGGCACTGAAGGGTTGTGGGTTCGATTCTTGGTCAAGGGCACGTATCAGGGTTGCAGGATCAATCCCCAGCTCAGTCAGGGCTCATGGGGGAGGCAACCAACCGATGTGTCTCTCTCACATTGACCTGTCTCTCTCTTTCTCTCTCTCTCTCTCCTTTCCTCCCTTTCACTCTCTCTAAAAAAAATCAATGGAAAAAAATATCCTGGGGTGAGGATTAACAACAACAAAAAAGACATGGTTATTTTAGATGGAGAGGTCAGGGAAGGCTTCTCTGAGGGAGTAATATTTAAGCTGCATACTGCTTGAAACACAGCCTTTTGTGCAAAGATCTAGGGGAAAGAGTGTTCCAGCAGAGGAAATGCAAAGGCCCTGTGGCAGGAATAGATTTGTATTTTCAAGGACAGTAGGAAGTCATTGAAAGGTTTTAGGCCTGGAAAGAGACATGTCTAATTTAGTTTTCAAAAAGATCCTGCTGGTGCTGGGTAAAGAGCAGATTGTACAGGGTCAAGAGTGAAAGCAAAGAGACCAGTTAGAGGGAAGTGGCAGCCAAGAGACAAGGGTGTTGAAAGACTTAGAACAGCCCTGGCTGGTTTGGCTCAGCGGTTAGAGCGTTGGCCTGCGGTCCGGAGAGACCCGGGTTCGGTTCCCGCTAAGGGCATGTACCTCGGTTGCAGTTTGTCCCCGGCCCTGGTTGGTCGTGCCGGTGGCAGCCACTCGATGTGTCCCTTTCGCATCGATGTTTCCCTCTCTCTCTCTTCCTCTCTCTCCCTCCCACTCTGTCTGTACAAAAAATGGAAAAATGTCCTCGGATGAGGATTAAAAAAATATATATAAAAAAAAAAAAGAAAGACTTAGAACAGACTTGGGCCAGGAGTAGCAGGGGTTTGGGAGAAAGCAATACCACAGAGGCCTCTCTTGAGAAGAAAGAACCCAAACAAGAGATGTGACTATGTCTTGAAAGTTAAAATATATATATGCCCTGGCCGGTTTGGCTCAGCGGTTAGAGCGTCGGACTGCGATCCGGAGAGACCCGGGTTTGGTTCCCGCTAAGGGCATGTACCTTGGTTGCAGTTTGTCCCCAGCCCTGGTTGGGTCGTGTGGGTGGCAACCACTCGATGTGTCGCTTTCACGTCGATGTTTCTCTCTCTCTCTCTCTCCCTCTCACTCTATCTGAACAAAATATCGAAAAATGTCCTCGGATGAGGATAAAAAAAAAAAAAAAAGAAAGAAAGTTAAAATATAGCCCTGGTCAGTTTGGTTCAACGGTTGGTGCATTGGCCTGCGGACCAGAGAGTCCCGGGTTTGGTTCCCACTAGGGGCACATATTAAAAAAAATAGCCTTCAAGTCTGTCCTCCCCAAAAGTTTGCACAGTGTTGGACACAATGAAGAGAAGCAATCATACATTCATAAAACAAGAAGACTGAAAGTTCAGCCTTCCATTTTATCAAAAAGAAAACTCAAGTTTAAGGAGATGAAGTGATTTACCCAGGGCCAGTCTACATGGTGATATTTAAGAGATCCAGGGCTCAGTATTTTAAAGTTTCTAGGTAAAAGATTAATAGATGCATGATTTTTCCTTTACCACCAAAAAAATCAATGAAAGTCAAACAGGAAAAGTAGAATCTCATAACATCTTCTTAGTGTGTCTTTAGCTGATTCCCTAATGTATATTGCATTTATAGCACATGATGTGAAATCCTTGGAGCATTAACATTGCACATGGAAGTGTTTGTGGAAAAAAAAAAAAGTGCTATCATGTTCTAAAAACTCCAAAATACACATGTGGAGTCCGTGACAGCAGATGTAGGTCAGCCTAGTAAGAGCATCTTTCATTTGCCTTATGCTACATCATTGCACACGTAATGCACGCTCATGGTTATAACCTAAATCAAAATAGGCTGAGGGAGCCCCTGAGAAAAGTTGGTGTGCCGCCCTGGCCAGTTTGGCTCAGCGGTTAGAGCGTCCACCTGCGGTCCGGAGAGACCCGGGTTCGGTTCCCGCTAAGGGCATGTACCTCGGTTGCAGTTTGTCCCCAGCCCTGGTTGGTGGTGTGGGTGGCAGCCACTCGATGTGTCCCTTTCACATCGATGTTTCCTCTCTCTCTCTCTTCCTCTCTCTCCCTCCCACTCTGTCTGTACAAAAAATGGAAAAATGTCCTCGGGTGAGGATAAAAAAAAAAAAGAAAAGTTGGTGTGCCATATACCCAGTTTTCACATAGAGTTGGCATCCCATCCACTTTTAAGGGGAATTAATAGGTCTGTATCAACTCCACTAAAGATTCAAAGCTAAATCCACCCATGTGTCTTTAGTCCATGTGCTTCTAGAATCAGGGCAACCTCAGAGGAAAGACTCACTGTGTGTCCTCTTTCCCATCACTCGGAACAATCTCGGGCACCATACCTCATCTGGGAGTCCTTCCAGAAACTGACCTTACACAGCTCCATCTGCTCATTCCCTTTACCTACCGTTCCCTTTGGTTTCCTGTTGTTCTCAACCATGGAAGGTGCCTAGAGGCTGCTTCTACAGCCCACTCTCCCAGAGCACCAAGACCTTTTGCTCTGAGACAGTTTTCCACGTGTAGATCCACGTGTGGCTAACAGGTAAAGAGAACTGAAGAAGTGCGCCTGAATCTCCAGTGTTGGCAAAATTTGCCTTACGAACTGGCTCAGAATAATTATTCTGTTTCTGTTTCTGTCTACAACTGCAGTCGAGACCTCAAAATGCAGGCGGCCCTGGTCATGATCACTCATGAATGGGGAGGAGGGGCAAGTGCACATTTCTTCCTTCTGGTGTGAAAGGCGAAGCCTGCTGAGAGTCGAACTCGGTGACCCCTTGACGACCTTCCAGAATTCAGGGACACCTAAATGCTTCTGAAAGTTTTAAGAAAAGATCATTTGTTTTCCTAGGAGGATTCTCCAGACGTGGATCTATAATATATTCCTTAGAGATTTACCAAATAAATATCCTACCTATTATTTTAAACACAAAAAACAAAAAACAAAAACTTGTAAGAACATCAATAAAAGAGAACTGCAGATTCTTGGCCACTACTGTCGTTTAAGCAGAAACAAATAATAATACTAAGACTAACACCCCCCCAAATTGAAGGGTACCTTTCATCAAAGCTGACGTTCATGAATCCCAAGTTTTACATACCACTAATTATATGTAATTATTTATAAATATTTTATTTGAATATAATTACATATAATCATTAACTGAAAAACCAAAACAGGAATGATAGATTGGACTTCTTCCACAGAAAAAAAGCAGAATCATTTACATACATAGAGTCATTAAGCGGAAGCAAGCCTGAGTGACAGTCTGAAACCCCAACACTGCGGCGGAACAAGCCACGGGACGTGCTCAGGCTGAGCGGGTGCCCAGGGAAATGAGATAGGTCGCCCAATGCTGCCACCGTCAGGTTGCTACTGGTAGCGCACCCTTCTTGCTACA